TTCATTTCACTAAATTATAGTCTCATCCCTAATAAAGAATTATTTTTTCTTCATATTCCCCTGCTACATTATAGTCTCTTACATCCTGGATGTATTTTTCTACCAGTCTTTCAGTATCAAAGCAAGGTAAAACCAAAGATGGCATCTAGCAGAATTGTCTAAAATTGGGTGTTTGTTAAGTATCACATTTATAAAAAGACTACTAGTAACCTTTACTTAAGAGGACGCCATCCACAAGAGATTTTATTTCTTTTACATGGATTGTTTTCAATTTGCATTAACGATGGCGTGATAGCAATGTTAGATATAAAGTACATTTCCTGCCTCATTAAAGGTTAATAACAGAAGAAAAGAAACCCATTTTCGTTTTACCCGCAGGTGAAACCATTAAAGAGACGAGATAATGACTACCTGGTCTGCAGGAGACAGGCACCCACAGTTATGTCATGTTCAATATCAAAAGCAAGATGTAATTAAGACTATTATTATGCAGAACTGTTTCTGAGACACCCTTAATTATCTCACTTTTGTCCTTTTAAAAGTCAGCAGCATATCAGGTTATAAAGATCTGCCATAGCAGTTTTAGCAGCATCATAATGTTGCGTGATATCTAAATGAATCGCACTACAAAGGGGAAGACTGTATGCATTTCCTTCATTTCAGTCTGTTTATCTCGAATAGAAAATTGAAACCCAAAAGGTACTATTTCAAAACATTGTGACAGGTGTTTGTGGCTTGGTTTGAATCCGGTTTCAAATCCAGGTATATGAAAATCATAATAAGATAATAGTAATAAAAAACAATGGGGTTTGAACTGATTATTTAAACTTTGTTTTTTAAAGAAATCTGACCAAAACTGACATATGAAAAATGGGGAGAGGTCACATCTTTGAAACCAAAAAGAGAAAATGCTTAGAATCCAAATAGGAACAGCAGGCAGTTTATAAGGGGAGTGGTCATCAAACGAACCAGGAACGGCAATTAAATCTTTCAAAATATCTGAAAGGGCGATCCATCACACCAGAAATATACAATCTGTAATTTTAATCACATGATCAGAACAGGGAGTGTTGACAAGTAACTTGTGATCTCTCGTTAACCTGTTCAACACAATGCATGCGTGTACCAGACACAGATGGTTATGACCAGGCTGGCAATTTTAGACAATATTAATGGAGAAATGGTGTGATGACAGTTTTCACTGTGATTACCAAGCCCCAATGTATGGCAAATCAGTAGTTTTTGTCCCAACTTTCACACAATAGTCAAGCTGGACCAAATTATTTCCTTTGCTAATATATCCATCCTCCTTAATGACTTGGCCACCAAATTATTTGCTTTGTTAATAAATCCTCCTTAATGACGTGCACACTATTTTAGGACAGAGTGTTGACAACTCGATTTCATGGCATTTCTTTTTCAAAAGAAGTGATTGGAATCATTGTTCACAATTTTGAATAGCTAACAAATCGGTGTTGCAAACATTGAAAAAAAGTCTTGTATATGATGTTGAGTAAGTTATGGGTTCTTTCCCTGACCAGTTTTATATGTGAATGACTTACTTAAGTTTAACCTGTAGAGCTAGGATTTTAGTGGATTGTGCTAAGGACTCAGGCTCGTTAAAGGTGATAATAATGCAGTGAAAGCTGTTGGATTGAATACATTTGCAAGATAATATCTGACCACCTGTTGTTACACCAAATGTCATATATTTGTGAATATATAAAATCTGGTAATGTAATGCAAGGTTTAAAAGGAAAACTGGGCTTTTAAAATGGGGTTTTGTAGATAGATGTTGGAAAAGATGCATTTATATATTTACCTGCATTCTTTTTTAAGGCCAGTAGCAGAGCAGTGAAATGATGAATATGTCCTATTTTTCAGTTCAAGGTTATGCCTATGATATTGATTTGGCTTTTTGCCAAAAATTTGGTGGATGTCGGATGCTGAAACTTATCTCCTGTTTTTATCAAGCCTGTGTAAAGCGATAAGGTTGATGTGGTGCTATGATGCCCTTCAGTGACAAGGATGATGTATTTTATGTTTTATGTTATTTGTGGAAAGATGAAAAGATGAAATCAAAAGGGGGCTATTTAATCTGAATTTATAAATATATTTTGTGTGCGTGGCTTGAAACTGCAAGCAAGGAGATTAATGTTTTTTTTTCTCCAAGTAACTGGCATTTGATGGCAGATCCAACATGGAAGTGCTACAGTTTGTTTTGTCACGTTTATAATGCCGTGATTTGCATGCTGGTTGTAGCCTAAAGTCACTGAAAGTGCATTTCTGCATAAAATTTAACCTGAACTTTATAACTAACTGATCTCTTTATTTATAAATGAGTTTTTTAAAATGTTTTATGGGTCACTGTGACCTTTAAGATGTACACATGTACATATAAACAACCTACCCCCCCCCCCCATTTTCTGCAGTACAAGTATTACTTGAGGAGAAATATGACATACAGCATACTGAAATGCAATTAAGTTATGGGTTGAAGTTATTTATGGTGGCAATCTAATATCTAACTTATGTAATACATAAGGCATGTAATATTCAGAAGGTGCTTGGTTATGTAGCACTGGTATCTTGTATGATGTCAGCTTTTCTATATTCCACTCAAGACCAGGTGGAAGTGTGTTAATTTGATTGTATTCATCAAGAGTCGCTATGGACTTGGTCCGCACTAGCTAGTATAAAAGATTCACTGTGAACACACCCTTACACCCCATTCTCATAGATTAGATCGACCTACATTGGATCGACCTAACTCCCTGGGGGTTCACGCTAAATAGCTGTCAGCCGGGCGGACACGAAAGTTAATTACCCCTTAAAGCTTGTAGTAGGCGGGGACGGACACTTAAGGGGGATTATCCGACAGTAATCTAGTGAGACTCCCCGCGGTGATAGATCGATCTAAAAGTTGTGAGAACAGAGCCTTAAATACCATGTGCAGAAATCATTAATGGTTGGTGAAATCAGGAAACTGTTGCTGTTCAAATTCTTTTTTGAAAGTAACCACATTGAAGAGCAGCGGTTGCACTTCAAATTATCCTGCTGTTGTTTTACCACAGGCTTGCCTTGCTGGGTGCGAAAAGTCTCAATTTCTTGCCCTTTTTCACGGACACAGTAGACAAATGGAAAGTATGTGGTTGTCTGTACTCACAATAATGATGCTTGACTTGACAGGAGTATAGACCCTGACTTTTAGGGAAATATGAAGGATATATTGTAGATATAACATGCTACTTATGGTCACATTTTGTTGCGTACAACACAAAAAATATTTTGTTAGCATGGTCTTTGTTTGGTTTCATATCCCTCAGAACCAGTGTCTTCAGACAGGAAAGTTATTTTTCCGATCATTAACGAACATGAGGTTTTTGTATATTTTATAAAGTAAATTGAACACTTTTCAAATATAATATTGGTCTGAATGTGTCTGTGTGGTCTACTTCTGGTAGGTAACATGGTAACTAAAACTGTGGTTTGAAATAGTAGTCATCCATCATAGAATGTGTTTTCTTATTCAACCTTGTGTGAAGTGCACATACCATACCTTGAATAAATGACCTTGTTTTCAGAAGACAAGGTTTTCAAAGCAGTAAATAAGCTGGGCCATCTGATTAGGTTGCCATAGTAAAGTTCATGCGTAAGAAACACCAGGTGTAGAGAATGTTCTCGCACCCTAAGTTCCCTAGGGCGGAATTGCATTACTGTTTCTATTTTTTTGTGCATCAAAATTTCTTCACACTTTATCACAAATTTCTTAATAAGTGAATATATTAAAATTGATTGATGAAATATTTCATAATGCCCATAACTATCAGTGACTTAAAATATATTGTTGAAGGATTCCTGAGTAAAAGCCATACACTTTTCTATTAGGATAATTGTAAGAAAAAAAAAAACTTATACAGAGCTAGTGAGCTAAATTCAGGGTTGGAGCAAATATTTTAGAATATGTTGTTTACAGCACATACAGAAGTGTATGAAGGCAGAAATGACTTTGCCAGATGCAAGTGCTTAAAGCTGGTATCCACTTTTTTGAATAGAAAACCATTTGTGCTTGATATCTATTTATATGTGCATTAACATTCCGTTTACATAGACAACTAAAGGTCCCTGCTTAGAGGTGGTTTAGTTAAATGTCAGTGGGAATCAGGGGAAAATTTGAACTAGAATTGTTGGCCTTTGGGGAAAGTAGCTGATTGCCTGACCTTTTCTGGTGACTTGTTCAGATTCATTGCCAGTTGCCAGGTTTTCTCCCCTCGTCCAAATTACACTTCCTCCTACTCAGACAATTCTTTAAGCCTTGGGTTCTGAGAGAAAATTGCATTGCACTGTATATGGATGGTACTTTTAAACCATTGATTTTACAGGGTTCCTGCGTTCTTGGCCGGTCTGAACTTCTTAATTGGGGTACTGATTGGCACTGCCAGATTTTATTAGTTTCGTGATTAAAAAAAAAAAAAATGTAAACCTGATGCTCAGGAAATGCACTTTCAATATTGGAGGTTATCAAAAAAGACAAAACTAGTGTTTGAATGAAGACAACTTTCTGGTACTTTTAAGGTACTTTTAAACAATTCATTTTACAGGGTTCCCATTCTGAACTTCTTGGTTGTGTTACTAATTGAAACTGCCAGATTTGATTAGTTTCTTGATTTTTTAATAAATAGAAACCTGGTGCTCAGGAAATGCAATTTTAGGTACATTGGAGGTTATCAAAAATACAATACTACATTTGAATAAAGAAAACTTCTTGCTTTATTCTAATATAACATTTGACTTTTGGTTCACATTTATGCAATAGTGTAAACCTAGAACATATATTCACTATTGCCTGAGAATATGATAGCAAGCAGGGGCTTGGAATAATTCCTTGGGACATTATCTAACCCCTGAGTGTCAGCAGACCTCTCTAGTTCATGTGCACTGTGTAAATAGGCCATTGTCCATCCTTGAACCTGTTTGTTATGTAATAAGTCACTGACCTGCATGTGTACTAGGTCTGCTGTTAGTGGCCTGGTAGCAAAAAGCAGGTGCTGAAGTAATGATAATTTATATGCATGATTTGAGTCTGGAGTTTTTCACTTTGAAGCTGCTTTTAACACAAGCCATTAGTTGTTGTAAAGATATTGATATATGGCTGATGTGTTGTATTATGTAATCTAGATAAGTGGATATAATTGAACAATACATGCAGCTAGCAAGAGGTATAGAAATAGGCAATATACCTGATTAGCTAAAACCAAATCAGCAATTCTTCATGGTTTTGTGTAGGGGCATTGTACTCATTTATTACCATTGGCACAGAATGCCAGTCTAAAATATTTCAAAAGATTGATTAATTAGGCAGAAGGGTGCTTCACTTCATTCTTTTTTACAAAGAAAACTTGTCACTTGTAAACACTGAATTACAGGTGTATTTCATGTGTTATACATTAAAACTGCATTAAAATTTTTAAAAAATTGTATTTTGAGACTACACAGATCGTTAATTAAAATAAAGTTTGGGGAAACTTGTTTCGACATTTTGTTTTAAAATACAGAATAAAGTGTAGTAGACATTGAGCTTGAAGGGAAAAGTATCAGGAACGAATTCAAAAACCATTTCATTTAATAGTTCATTTCATAGTTCATGTAGCAGTCATGGCTCTAGAGTTTAAATATTTTATGTTTTTCTCTTCAGACAAGAAAACTACCCCAAAGAGAAAGAAACCTGGGTCGATAGATGGGTCTCCTCACCCTACACCCCCTGGCTTGGCCAAGATTACCCCAGGGATGGGAACTCCCAAGACCCCAGGGAGTGTCCCCCGCCTCACAGTTCCTCTGTCAGAGCGCCAGCAGATGGCGTTGCTGATGCAGATGACGGCCGAATCTGAAGGTATGAGGACAAGAAGAGCCTATTTTTATTATTATTAATATTATTATTACCTGGTTCAATATTTTCTACATATTTCAAACAAATGTTATGGAAGAGAGTGAGTTTTGCAGCAGGGTTCAGCTTGGCAGCGATGCCACCTATTTATTTTGGCACTTGATAGATTTCACCAAAATTGACATTTACAGGTTACCGTTTGAAGAAAACCTGTATTGACTAAAGCAATTGTCTTTCTTTTATTGCTTCATTGGCTAAGAATTGCATGGAAATGTGAGATGTCAGGCAATTTCCTGGAATGCCTTGATCTAGTGCTTTATTGAACAGCACTTGGACATTCCCCTGGCATATTTGTATACTCTACGTTGTTGAAAGTCCTCTAGAAATCAACCAAAATGTCCTCGGAAAGTGTTTTTCCATGTACGTAAGCCAATGGAGTTAGCCACATTAATATTTATTGACGATCTCCTTTTTCAGAGTCCTCATCCAAGCCCAACTCCCCCCAGAGTGTCACTCCCATTGGTAAAAAGACACCTTTGGACAGAAAAGTCAATAAAAGAAACGAACGCGGAGAAACACCACTCCATCTGGCGGCCATAAGAGGCGATGTCAAGCAGATTAAGAAGCTTATCAAAGCTGGGGCTGACGTTAATATTGTGGATTATGCAGGTACACTGGTGTTGTAGTATGGAATTTTTATCTGTTAAATGTCTTTGTGAGTGTGTATGTATGTGTGTGTGTGTGTGCGCGCTAGTTTTCTGTTGTATTTTCCTACTGTGATTGCAATGAAAGTGATACTCAAGTCATCAGCATTCAACATTTGTCTTCCGTCACAATCCATCATTTTGAAAGTCAGCAAATATCTGATGCTGCTGTCAGGATTCCAAAGAGATTACTCAGATATCAGGAATATGGTACTGTACAATATATGTCCATCAACAACAACAGATATAACCTTATTTAGCTGAAATATACAGCATTTGGAGGGAAATGAGGTCTTCGCTGTCATTATTAGTTCCATGGCAGTGCACCATATCCTATCAGAAAGATTATCTAGTTAGTGATATATATATATATATATATATATATATATATATATATATATATATATATATATATATATATATATATATATATATATACACACACACTAGACAGGTGTGATAAGCAATTCTTCACAGACAACACCTGGATTTGGAAAGATTTACGACTGTTGGCTTGTAACTTTAGCAATATGTTCTACTTCCTCAGCCAAATCTGAATTCTTTTCTTTGCAGAGCATTTTTTACGCGATGATAAACAAGCTACCTAAATTTTTTTTAAAACAGCAGCAAGGTTTCCGCTATGTTTTGAGCCTAGGGGTGAATTTGGATCCAAACTAAAGCGTAAAAATTCCGGGGTCATTCCCTTGTCACTGGGTTAAAAAATGAGGGTCATTTCGTGTAAATTTGGTATCGGAGAACACCTGATTGTAGCCTTGAGGAGAGAACCCCCGCAGTAGTATCATGTGTTAGTTCTGTACCCGTTCCTAGACAGGACAGGTACTTTTCCATAATGGCAGTAGCCAAAAAGGTTGCTTTAGAATGGGCATGAAGCAACAGTATACTTATATGGCACTACTCTGTAGTTCAACTGATGTAACTTGAAGCAGAAAGATGCAATATTGAAACTTTTTATAGGCTATGTCTGTCTTGAATGTCACGGATTTTAAATTTCATTTTTGCTAATGAAATACATGAAGTTTTCATGGAATCAGTTTCAGACCAGTCGAAAGATAGCTGAAAAAAGTTTTATAAATCGACAAACCACTTGTGCCCTAGTGGACAAAATTAAACCTATTTTGTGACCGATAAATTGGAGATTTTATCCATTCATTTTTCTGTAACAGATTTGAATTCTCAGGACTTGACCTGAAGACTGTGTCAGGACTAATGACTATCAGGACCAGCTGGTCGTGAGAATCCAAGTCTTAATTTGGTTATACTCGGTGATCCAGTGTATTCTTAACTGATGTGTGTGTATTTCCAGGCCTGTATTTCCGTATTTCCGTGGGTACAAGCTGTGGAGAGATATGCAGTATGCTGTTCCATATATGCATGGGCATTTGTCATTGAAAGGGCAGCGTGACCCCTTGCCAATCTCTCACTACCAGTATAAGGAAGTGATATGCCCTATTTAAGTCTACTCATCCTGGAATGAGTTGTTATTTGTGCGTATTTATTTCTACCAAACATAAAAAAAAAAAAAAAATTATGGCTGTCTTTGTGGAGGTATACGCCCTCTTTGTAGAGGTGTATTCAGTTATTTGCCATATTTAAGGTTACTCATCCTGGAGTGAGTTGTTATTTGTGCGTATTTATTTCTACCAAACCAAAGTACAAAACAATTTGGGAAAATTGGTTTGGAAGGGATGGAGATGTTGGATTGATGATTTTGTTTTTCACCTAACAGCAGAGGTAGTTGATGGAAATGTTCTAACTGAACTGCAGATTAACCTGGTTGGCATGTGGATTATGAAATAAGATATTCGCTGACATAGACCAGTGAAAAATATCACCCAGTGTTAGCATGATTTTCGCTGCTTGTATTATGAACAATTTCCATCCTGAAAGGCTTAAGAAAAACTGCGGTTAAGTTGACATTTGAAGTCCAAAACCTACTGAACAATCTTTCGCATATGAGGTCGTTTGTAGCTATGGTATGTGCATGCGTGCGAGTGTAGACACAGCTTCTTCATCAGCCCTTATTCACCACCATACCGGGAGGGCCTCTTGTGGTGGGGAGTTCTGTTTTTTTGGACATGAGCCAAAATTTAAAAATAGACCTCTTGTGGTCTAGGGATTTCCACAATGATATGAAGTTGTTTTTCAACAGGCAAGCTGTCTGGTGAGTTATTAGTCATCCATGCCCCCTGAAGTTTACAGCCAAAGTAGATCTCCATTGACCTTAGCACTGCTGAACTCCCGTGACTCGCTGGACTAGTTTTTTAGCAGACAAATATGAAAGAAGGCCCCGTAGAAGGTTGCAGATGCAAATGCAGCCTGAGAGGGCAGTGTTTGATTTGCTCGTGTGAATAAAACTCTATTATAACCCACCATAGTGATTATCAGTTTATTTTGAGCAACTCTAGATATATATGTTGAAATAAAACAAGTACTAGTACTCAGGCACGGCCAGCTTATGCCTGCTATCCTCCAATTCAATAGCAGCTTATATAAACTGATTTCTGGCATAACCGAACTAATAAAAAAAACCTTTAGCTTGTGATATATGAATGTCTTGTTTTGTTTGTTTGTTTGTTTGTTTGTTTGTTTGTTTGTTTATAATATGACATCATCATTACTGAACACTGATTTCTTTATTATATTGGAAAGAAGCTTCATATTAGTGATCTTTTTGCCTGCTAAAAAATAAAATGAGTTTAAAATGAAATGCCTTCAGTTAGTAAACTTTTGTACTTTTGGATATAAAGTGTTTTTTTTTTTTTTTTTTTAAGTCTTTTCTATGGATGTAAATGATATCAGCATTCCATACAATTGCAATATTTAATGAATGAAAATATGCTTCATAATATACTAAAGGTAAGATATTCATCCTTTCATTGTGCTTGATCTTATTTTGGTGTGAGAAACCTGGAAAGATTCATTTTCCTCTTTCATGATGAAAAAAATAAGTGACGTCAGGAAATCTGAGGGCACTATAGAGAGAAATATGTGTGGTTTATGGATGTTTTTGTACTTTTATGTGAAAAATTAATGAAATGATAACATGTTTATATGTGTGCTCAAATGGAATAATGTTGAGGGAACTGAATCAGCATTTTTTCCATGCCCACAGTTTTTAGGACATTGCTCGGTATGCATAACAAAATAGAATAGTAAAATGTTTTTGCCGCATTCATTTTGATCTTTCTTAGGCTTCTTGTTTTTGTGCACATGTACCATCATCTGCTCTATGTGCAGTGGCGCCATCAAGTGGCAGCTAAGGTCACTAGGTCATGGAGTGCTAGGTGACAAGGAGAATAAACATGAATATTTTAGACATGATATTTTCTCCATAATTGGAAATTCTTTTTTACCCCTAGAAGCAAGACCTGATTCATTTTTTTCCTCTGTTTTTCTTACAACCCAAAATTATGTCTGACTTTCCTGTTTATGTTTTTAGTGAATATTGAGAAAGTGTTGCAATTTAAGGTGTGAAAAGATGACAGCGACATAACCCAGAGCTAGAAGCTATCACTTCCTTTGGTACAACGGAACATTATGTGCCTCTAGAAGTGTGATAATATGAGTGGATGGCAGAATCACCCATGTCTGTGCCATATTGATAGCTGTAAAAAAGCATTGCATGTGAGAAAGGTGATTTCAGTGAGTGAGAAACCACATTTGATCCCTGTAATGAAAAAAAAAAAGTTTGAAGAAAACATTTCTGTTATTTTAGTACCAGTCTTTGTGTGAGACCTTTCTTACTCTGTCTCACAGGCATATCTCCAGGTCATTCATATTCTTAGAACCCATATTGTGAAGGTTTTGTTGAATATGATATTACTGCAGAGGAGCTAAACCTCACAAGATGGATTTTCTTTCAGCATACAGCATTGATGGCTTGTGCACATGGAGAGAGAGAGAAACGGGGACAGAGAGAGAGTGTGTCAGGGAGGGGGGGGGGGGTCATGTCCCTCAAAATATTTTCTCTGGATTTATTGATCAGTAAAAAGAAAACAAGATCTTCCTCATGAGATGGGTGTTGCCTGCATTTGCAAGTTCATCATCTGGTAAAAAAATAGCGGTTCTGTTGGGTATTTGCACATCTTCCTATGGAAACGGGGTGAAATATCCTCTTTAAAATAAAATCATCAGCATTTACATATAAGAATAAGTGTACTTGCAATACGGGCAAATTTTCCACATCCAAAAATAATATTGTGCATGCTTGCTTGCTTGCGTGCATGCATTTGTGAGATCGTCTCTGCTAGAACAACCTCCAGATAAAATATGCACGAGCTCAGTTAATCGCGTATAGCCATATGCTAGGAAGATTACTAGGTGCATATATAGGAGAGGCTGAGGAAAAGGTCAACCTGTCACATTGCCTTGATGTATGGATATGGGTGGGGAGAGGTCAGTGCTCATGTCCAGTTCACCGGTCAGTGCACAGCCATCTGATGAAGGAAGGTATTGACCTGTACTGTGGCCAAGGTCAGTTTTTATGTCCAGCTCGCTGACCAAGAGGAAGATACAAGGGGAGAGGTTGGTTTTTTTATGTCCATGCAAACTGGGGGTTTTGCTTTTGACTTGTGATGTCCTTGGTGGTGTTAACTTGTGTGTTATGGATGCCAGAAGAATATGAATGCTGATAACACTGTTTTATATTGTTGAATATGTTTGGCAAACATGAAGTAATTATTAGTTTGGTATGCAGCTGTATTATCCAGGGAGTCTGTCTGTGTGTGTGTGTGTGTGTGTGTGTGTGTATGCACACGCATATGTGTGTGTGTCTGTGTGCGCGCGCGAAAGAGAAAAATATTAATATAGTATTGACCTGTATGTAGAATGCATATTTTCTATATTACCTTTATGCAGAATGCATATTTTCTATATTACCTGTATGCAGAATGCATACTTTCTATCTTACCCTCTTTGATATATGACCTAGTGTATAGAAACAACACTTTGCCTGCTATCATCTCACACCAGAATGCACAACTGGCATGTGCAGATATAATCTGTTCTCTGGGGCTGCCGCAATTAAGTTTAATTATACAGCGCTGCTTTCTCTGGTGGCAAATAATTTCTGGGATTTGTTCATGCGGCAGCTGTCATACTAGTTACCTGGCTTCCGTGAAATGCCAGGTGAAGTCTGCTAGTTACATCTGGTTATAGGAATATGCTGAATAATACATACTTGTACAAGTTGTTGTCTGTGTTGCACTGTCTTGTGGGTTATTATTAATGTAGTAGGAAGTGTTTAATTATTTTGAAGTCGGATTTGCATTAGGGATGACTCATCTTCTCTCTCTCTTTCTCTCTCTATCTCTCTCTCTCTTCTTCCCTCCTCCCCCCTCTCCCCCCAGAATTTGCAACTTTATTTCAATTTCCTGTTGTAAGGCTTCAGTCGAGTTAACTCGTAACCACGGAAACATGTTCTCAATTTCAGGATGGACTCCGCTCCATGAAGCCTGCAACCATGGTCATGTGGACATAGCCAAGCAACTGCTCAAGGCAGGTGCGAACGTCAACGTGCAAGGACTAGACAACGACACTCCGCTTCACGACGCCTCCATTAATGGGCATAGAAAGGTAAATTATTGCACAGATTTCTTGGTGATTAGACTTGATGTAGTTTTGTTAAGCAGATGTGAAGGTTTGTTTTTAGTAGCAATGTAGTGTTTTTATAGTGGGTGTGTTTAAATTTATTTATGTTAAATTATTGTGCAACTGTGCAACTGTTAATGCCATTTATCTTCTATTTTGAGAAGATGTAGGCTTCAGTGGAATTTATTCCTATTATTGTACATTATGAAGTAATAAGTTTCATAAAGCTGTTTCATCACCTCCCATTAACTTAATGTATAACATAATAAATGTTTTTATGTATTGTTTATATTATCTCCTGATATTACTTTCCTGGAACTGAGAGAATCTTTCAATCTCAGTGTCTCTCATCAGTGGTGAATGTTGAAGCAAACCCCACAGAAATAATCAATTCAGCCAATGTTTCACCGTTTTGGCTCAGATATTGGAGTCATCTTCAATATCAAATCAGTGGCCCAAACCCAAGTTTTTGCTTGAAAGAGAGGGCTGTACATTGCGCTACAGCTCTTAGTGCCAGGGATTTCCCTTGATGGATAAGTGATAGCTTTACTGTAACTGTTGGGAATAAAAACAGAAACCATACTAGAAGCTGAATCATAAGAATGACATGAGATATTGTTGACATGATATGGTAGTTACTCAGTAAATCCAAACAAAACTGATGAAGCATACGTACTTCCTTAAACTGTGCTTGTATATCATGTGCACCTTTAAAATACAATTTAAAAGTTCAGAATTGAGATCTTTTTAGGCACTTTGCTCTGGTGATTTGCTAAAATTGATTTAGTAAAGAGGGGAAAAATAAAATGTTGGAATTGGCAAAGTGTTTGAAATTTGTGAGGAATTACTACTATCTCATGAGACTATGATCTTCCAGCTCAGAGATTAGTATTGATCCATGTCTTTTGTTCGGGGAATTGGTGTATATACACTTACCTGGGATTTTTCCATTTACGAAGTCACCAAATAGATGCATTTAAAATAGACCCTGTAGCATTTTCCCTAGGTACACATTTTAACCTCCTACCCAGGGAAAAATAACTTCTTGCATGATATCTCATCTTGATAAGAATTTCTTGGAAAAGAATTAAGATACATTCAAAATTTATAACAAAGGAAACCTATAGTTTCGCAGTAGGTGTCTTTGATTAGATTGTCAACTGATTGTACGTCGAACAAACTGTAAATTATGGAAAAGTATTAGCTATAGATACCAACAAGGGCTGTGAAATCTAGATATTTTAAACCCTTGAATGCATGTCTTGTTGGTTTTTCTCTGAGGGCTCCTATTGTGATAAATATAGTCGGCATTTACAACTGGGTACTCTGATGAGCAATCCTGATACTCAAGTAATTCTAGGTGGAAATTGGTAGTAAGAATTTATTCCGAATTTATTGAAAATTTGCTATTTATATATTTATATGAAAAATCTAAAATTCTAGATGGAAGTATGAAAATGAGATATTTGGGAAGGAAACACAAGTTGCTAATTTTAATTGTCTTTTATGGATATATGGATTTGTGACATTTGATAAACATATTCAGTATATTCAAGGACAGTCTTTGAATAGATTTTACAGAGAACTGACTAATTGCAGTTGAAAATTTTTAAGTGACAGTTGTCATAAAAAGGGAATAAAGCAAAACTGACATCTGGTTATCCTTAGCATTTTTTGTCCCAAAATTGATTTTAGATTGGTTTTCATGTGATCATTGTTGCTTAACAAAGAATGAGAGATAGACAAATCTATGAAAGGTTAAGCTTTTTTTTACCCAGATTAAATAACAGAAAATAAATGAGGCATTTAATCAGAACTAAAGTGCAATATGCTGTTAAAGAGAACATGGCAGTACAAATCGGTCACATAGAAAACTCCTTTTGATTGATATGACTTGAGTGTAGATAGGTGAGACACTTTCTTATACATTTATATATACTTTATATCCATTTATATATTCTTTCAGCTGGTAGAGTTGCTCATACGACACGGTGCCAATCCGCTGCAGCCGAACACACATGGAAAACGGCCAATAGATGTCGCTGCAGCACCAGAGATCTTACAAATTCTACAGAAGGAAATAATTGCTTCTAGCAGCGACAGTTCAAGTCTTGAAATAAGGTCTCCTACTTCACCAGAAAGTGTCACTTCAGATAAGGAAGATCATATTGGTAAATTTTTTACCCTAGATATTTCATATTTTTATGTCCATTTATTCTTGGAAGCGAATGATCTTCACTCTCTTTACCCCCTCTCTCTCTCTCTCTCTCTCTCTCTCTCTCTCTCTCTCACACACACACACACACACACACACACACACACACTATTTAACATAAAGCTGGTAGTTCTGAAAAATAAAAGTTAAGGACAAACACAAAATTTGTATTAGAGCTTTCAGTGATCACCAATCTACTTGATTGATTCCTGACAAGAGACTGTTTCTTTTCAGGTCTGGACACATATGAAAATAATGGACCAGATTCCCACTTGGCAGCCAAACAAAACAGACTCTTTGATAAATCCTCCCCGAGGTTAACGCTAAAATTCCAACACATAAAAAGCAAAGGTGATATGTCATACAGTGTCAAAATGGACATGGGTGAGGAAGGAGGAGAGGAGAGAAAACTGACGGGGGTCTCTGGCAAAGTGTCACCAGCCAAAAGGAGGGTGTCACGATCATCTAGTTCAGACAGTGACTTGTACAATCCACATCTGGATATTGTCTCTTCTTCTTCTTCTAAAGACCCCACATCAAATGTAACTAATAGGGACTCGTATGGGAAAATCCATCATAAAGACACTAGTAGACTTTCAATGGCGGCCATGGCTCGTCATGGCTCTGAGACCAAAGCAGCGCCATCTTTTGGGCAGAGTAAAGACTCTGCTGGAGGTGCAGTAGCATTTAATCCACTTGTGAACAAGGACTACCCTGCAAAGGAAATGAAACCAACTATTCATGAAAGAATGGGATTATTTTCACACAGTCGACAAATACAGTCGCAGCAACATCAGCAGCAGCAGCCAGAAAAGGACCCTTACGCGCCAGAATTTGAGGATATAAGTGATACCGAGGAATTGACTAGTCTTGAAAAAATGAGAAGTTCATTGCGTGACTCTCGTGAGAAAGACGCTTCATCTTCTTATCATCAGCAACAGCCACCTCAACATCAGGCGGAGTCCTCATCTTCAAATATGGCCGATTTATACATTCCACATTCGATAGGAAATAGCGATAAGAAATCAGAGGTGGGTTTCATCAATAATAAGGCTGAGCGTGAGCAAGCTGGCTTCTTTAAAACTTTTAAAACTGAGAAGACAGTTGATTCATCAAGTATTATTAGTAAAAACAAACTTCATGATAAATCAGAACTTGGTGGCACCTCAGTTGCAACTAAGGTCAGCAAGGTTGAAAAATCAGAAGCTGTAGTGAGTAGAGCGATTAAGAATGATTCTAGAGGAAGATCAGGTTCTTTCGGAACTACAGAAAGTAGTCGGACTAAAGAAAGAAATATGAGAGAAAGTGATAAGTATAAGGGAAGTTCGCCAAAGGATAAATTCCTACCTGACAGTACAAGTGAAAAACATAGAAACCTCTCACCCTTACATCTTCAGATATCTCCCTCAGAGAGGATGTCAGAACAGCAGCAAGATGGACGTAAAAATTCCTCGCCTCCTTCGACAGAAATGTCCAGGAGCATGTCTCCATCTGTTAAAGCTGAAAATCGAAAACTCTCATCGCCAACTGAAAAAGGAAACAGAGTTTCACCAAAATTGGACAATATTACAAAAGAGGCCATGTCAACCTCACCCACTGGCTCTTCTCCAAGAAGTGACCGAAATTCCCCAAAAAGTTCTTCAGATAAAGACTCTCCCAAGTTAAAAGTACCCCCATTGAAAATCATCATTCCCCAAAAGACTCCACCCGCATCGGGTGGAGAGGGTGATCTGAAACGTCTTCTGAGTAAACCGTATCTGCCGTACGTAGTTAACCCTACGCAGGAGTCAATGGAGATCGACGAGGCAGCTGGCGAGACTATTAATGTCACCGCACCTGTGTCAGGTAGTCAGGGGGCAGGGAACAACACGACAACGACAACAGCGACAGTACATGTAGATCAATCCATGCAGCAGCTACAACAACAACAACAACAACAACATCATCAGAAAGAACAACAGCAACTTCTGTCACAGCCTGTGACAAGAAACTCCCCCACATCCTCAATCAATATAGTGGGCGGCCCTGAGTCATCAGCTGAGGTTAATCCTGAAGGCACAGAAAAGCAGCTACAGCAGCCAAGAACAGCCTCTACTACCACAACTACATCTACTTCTAGTACTACTTCAAGGACTGAAAAAGACATGGAGACAGCTCCGTGTGTGGTTTCCAACACAGTCATCTCTGGGACAATTCTTAACACCACCAACACTCGTTCCAAGAGGGACAAAGATAAAGATGGAAACTCCGCCAAATCGGGCGACTCTGGCTCTGTTAAGAGCGAGGGGAGCAGAAAGAGTGAGAAAGAGGACAGTAAGGGCAAGGAAAAAGAGAAAGAAGGGACCAGTAAGGATAATAACAACAAGGAGGAGGAGGCGGAAGATATAAAGCCCACAAGGACGCTGAGGTCACATACGGCAGCTCAACAGCAGCAGCAGCAGCAACAACAGCAGCAGCAAAATGAGAAACCATCACAGGGTAAGAATTATAGTATTGAACGTTGTTCTACATTTTATTTATTTATTTAATCATTTTCAGTATTTAATATCATGTCCATGATACATCCACATAGAGTTCCCTCAGTGTATACAGCTGTTGAAAAAAGATATCACTTTTTTGCATCCTTATTGATTAAAATTATAAAGATTTTTTTCTCTGTATATTTGAAATTTGACCCCTGTTTCCCTTTTGATAAATACTCAAAATTACAGTTACATATCCAGTTTTCCTAAGATTTTAAGAGGAAAGGTGTTTCATATGAAGGTAGGCGGTAAAACTAAGGATGTTCTTTGTAATATGACCTCATTCTGTTTATTTTTTTCCTCCCACATGGAATGTCTTATTTCACACAAAATAGGAAAGGTTACTTAAGGATTTTTTTCATGATCCATTCTGAAGAAATCATTAGTGGATGGTGGAAATGAGTTTCCCTGAAAGCTTAGGTAACACATTAGTTTGTGGTGTGAATGAAATCCTCAGAAGACTACAGACTGCAGATGTTCACAGAGCTATATGCACTACATGCCCTGTTTTGTCTAGCCTCTGTAATTTAAAAGTGGAGTTTTCAGTATCAGCTTCAATGGAGGGATCTTCTGCCTCATTAGAACGATGCACAGCTTGGCTGTTTTTGCCTGAACTAAGTGATATTACTGTAGGCGGGGGGTTTAATAACTTGTTTCTCTCTCTCTCTCTCTCTCTCTCTCTCTCTCTCTCTCTCACACGCACACACACACACACAGAGAGAGAGAGAGAGAGACATACACACAAACACACATACAGATTGGCCTCTCAATAGCCAAAGCAGAAAAAAAGATTGAAATTATGACTCATAATTGACTGTAAGTTGATGTAAAACTGACAAAATTGTTGTATATGCTGTAACATAATAAAACTGTTCAGTGTAGATGAGTCTTACTATCTACTTAAATAATTACAAAAAGGCAATTATTTGGACAATCAAAATTTCTCTTAATTTTTTTCTTCTCCTACCTGTAATGTAAATGGGAAGTGTTTCAGAAATAATAAGTCATAAAAAAGATAACCTTCCTTACACAGTTGTGGTAGTGGCAATTAAGTTTCACACTGTTCTGTGGTAATAAGATATAATGAACGAAAAGATCAAAAGTGAAAGGACACAGCAGTTCCTATCAATTGCAAATCAGTTTCCATGGCAACAAGACTTCATGGAGAAATAATCGATGTGTGTATACTATGGCGAACTAGACGAACTGAGCAGCAGAAAAAATGTGAGAAGAGTTATCAGACAGAAATTTCTTCTTAAAATTGAAGGAGAGGTGTTTTACAGTGGTTCCGGTTATTTTTCCAGTTGTCGTTGGAATGAAGGGTGAGCAATGATTATCGCAGTAAAATTAAATTAGAGAACTAACTCTGAGGCTGTTTCAGAATTACAGCTTTGAGTGTTAGCATTATGAAACTTGTTATATCCAATTACAAGCAGGAGATACTTTTGGAAAGAAATCTGAATTAATATTGTGATAGAGATTGTGGTTGGGAAATTACATTATTTTGCTTTACTGTTTGAAATGTTTCATGACGTTTTGGCTTAACGTCAACCTCATGCATGATTTTAGGAAAAATTTTAAAAATTATTTAGATACTTTTCCCTTTCTTTTGGCTTTGAAATATGTTCAACTCTTATTCTGAAGACAGATATTTGTGATGCCGTTGAGATACAGGAAACGTGCGTGTTGTGTTGTTTTTCACCTGACAAGGACAGATCTAATCGTCTTCATATAGAGCAATATTAGTGCAGTGTACAGTCTAGGTCATAACTTTCTGTAGAGTAGCCATTAGAAAATGGTTTGCTCTTTTGATTTTCTGCAAGAGAGGAATATTGAAGTGAGTCTTGATGATATAATTGAAGGCCTGGTTTGTACAAATTGCATATACAACATGACCTTTTTTATATAGAGAATAACCTACAGCAAGTTGAGTCTTTGAATTTCTTCACATCCTCTTCTGTAGTGGCTATGAAATGTATAGACAAAATTAGCAGGGCAAGTCTTTCATATGACCTGACCGCCTTCAAGTTACTGAACCAGTAGAATTTCCTTTGTAAAGTGCAAACAGATTCTGACATTTGCGTAGTTTAAATGGCAACTGTCTATGCAGTAGTTTTTATTTTCTCAGCATCGAATTCAGCTACACCTACTTATTCTAGATTTATCAGTTTTCAAAATGGCGATGTGGAGTATAATTTAATGGCAGCTGGTTTTTCATTTCCTTTGGCAAAATGTAGCAGAAAACCTTCCTCTCTCTCTCTCCCTCCCTCTCTCTCTCTCTCTCTCTCTCAAATAGCAGATAACAATGTCTCTCTCTCTAATACGGATCAAGGAATATTTAAGCTTGAGATTTTCACCCCTTTTAGCTTTAAAGTTTGAAGAAAGATCTAACACTTTATCTCATTTTATTTCCTGCAGCATCTCAGAACGGTGACAGCAGTTCCCAAGACAACCAGTCCAAGTCAGAGATAGAATACATCCACCCCAGAAAGAGAAAATTACGGCCCCGCCCCGATCCCCCGCCCCAGACGGAACCAGTGGCCATCCCCCCTCCCACCTCCATGGAGAAGCCAGTGAATCCATACCAGCTTTATCTACAAATTAGAAAACAGGTAGGATGCATTATTTTTATTTTGAAATGTGTTCCTTTTTACTTATGTGGTGTGACTGTTAGGATTTTTTTTTTTTTTTTTTTTTTTCACTTGAAAAAGATCAAGGCAGAGCAACTGAAACTTAGGATGTTTTGGTGCTTTATTTACAGATTAGAAAACGGGTAGGAATTATGGTATTTAGAATGCAATATTTTCCTTTTTACTCGATGTGGTAAGACTTATAAAATTTATTTATTTATATTTTTTTCACTGGGAAAAAGATCAAGGTAAATCAACTCAAATCCAGGGTAATAGATTTTTTGGTGCTTAAGGGTTGGGAGGGAGATGATGACTTTCTTATTAGATGACATCACTGAAAATTCAACTGCTCTGGTTAATCTATTAAAATGTGAAAACATATAGAAATCATATTCACTACTGTTTGATTACTGCAATAGAAAGATGGACACGCAGGTTCACAAACTTACAGATGTTTACAATATGATAAAGTTTTTTTTTTTTTTTTAGTGAGACTGGAAGATTTACATTAATTAACCTAGATAAAGAAATGTCATTACTTTAAAATAAATAAAACATAAGGTTAAGATTAGAATAAAGTCACCTTAGTTTGACATGATAGATTTGACAAGTTTGTATTTTTTTATTTCTCTCTCAGATTGCCAAACGAAGAGAACACATGTTTGTTGTTCAGCCTAAGGCACCCCAAGGTTTCCATGACTATTTGCTGAGCAACCGAAATTACATGATCAAAGAAAAAGTCAAGCTTTCAGTGCCAACGGTAGGTCCCCCAAGTTGTGGCTCCACCATTCCCAGGCCTTATCGTACTAACTTTGGATCAGTCTATCTCCCAGGGGATTCTCATTAAATTGCAATCAACCAATGCAGCTTGGATGTCTGTCATGCCTACTGAAACTGATAGAGGGTGTTTAACTCTCGTTGAGCAGCTTCAGTAGGTGGGCCAGACATCTAAGTACTTTAAGCTAAAAGCAATTTAGCAAGAAAACCCCTTGGAGATTGACTGCAGACATGCTGAAAACTTTTCATAATGGCCGGACATTTGGACCGGCAGTAATGAAAAATTTGCCGGACAGAATGGATTTTTGCCAGACCGAAAATCACCCATTTTTTTTAGACGAATACTAGGATTAGGTAGCTTACTTTATTTGTGAATGTGGTCGGTTGAAATGGATTGAAAAAACGCTTTGGGCTTTATATAATTTTTTAGTGAATTATGTGGAATGATGACTGTAAATTCAAAATGGTGGCTCTTAAAACTCTTGTCGGTCCTTTAGACCGATTAAGTCCAATTTTTTACTGGTCCAGACAAATTTTGCCGGACATGACTGATCGGACCGACAGTTTCAGCATGTCTGGACTGATCCTGTTAGGTCGATTTAGGTATGGAAACCCAGGCTAAGTTCTATCAAAACAAAATGAGATGATTTTTTTTTGTTTTTGTTTTTTGTGTACATATCTTTCAGAAAGGAAAGTGCACTTTTATGGGAAGTTAATACAGAAGCAATGTATTTGTCTTTTAAGTTTATCATCATGGATTTTATCATCTTGAGCCTTTCAGCCATTGTTATATTTGTGGCCCATTTGTTGTTGAAATATAAATAGATTCCTAAATCACGATTTCTTATGCTGCGTGACAGATATATTTGAAGGAAGCAAAACTTTGTGTGCACATGACATCAATTGAAAGACTACTAGTCTGTCACCAGTCACTGTCACCATAGCAACTTGGTTACCATGACTACTACTTGTGTTATTTCCTGCAATGCTGCACTCTTTCTCTGGGTTAGGTCTGTTTGACATTTAGGCATTTCCGTCTCAAATGCTTTTTTTTTTAATCATTGATAATCTCTTTTCTGAGTAATGTTTTTCTTGTGTCATGCAGTGACTCATAATATTAGGATTATTGTTGTAATAGTGGCACAAAACTAGTTGAGAACACTCTCGGTAAAAGTTAATAGTATATAAATAGATAGTGAACTTATTCCACATTAAACTGACATAGAAATATATCTATTTGCATATCATAGAGCATTGCTTTAGTTAAAAATAACATTGATTTCTTACAATTATTGATTACCTCAAAACCAGATTAGTGAAAATAGACTTTTGAACTAGACAATTAAAACCTAGGGTAAATCTGCACTTGATTTCATGATTTATATAAAACCCTTATCTCTGCAAATAAACGCTGTACTCTACTAAAGCTCAAATATTCTCTTGGAGAAAATTATTTTGAACCAAATTTATGACCACTATTGTGAGATAAGAATTGGACTGATTCCCACCTTTATAGCTATTCATGAAAATTTTATTACCTATATTAATGCCTGTTCCATGTCTTAATGCATTCCCGCCAGCAATGGGAGTCTTTTTTTAACCTCGAAATATGATGAACTAATAGATATAGCTGATATTTTTGGACTAATTCTGTCATTTTTCTCTCTTTCTTTAGCTCTCTCCTGCTGCCCCTTCAGCCACTGTGACAGCGAAACCAGAGCCAACGAAGCAAAATATAGAAAAGGCAAGATATATGCTCATTTTACCTCTGTCTGTGTGTGTGTGTGTGTGTGTGTGTGTGTGTGTGTGTGTGTGTGTGTGTGTGTGTGTGTGTGTGTGTGTGTGTGTGTGTGTGAGGGGGGGGGGAGAAGTGGGACTTCAGACTTGATATTTTAAGGATCAAAGATACTTTTCTCTGAAGTGGCTATTATCAAAAAAGGTCGAGTTAAGTAACCAAGTTGCACTCTTTCAGATATTTGTCCCAAAGACCACCTCATGCCATTGTAATGTGGATGATAGTAAAAATGGAATGTAAACAATAAGTTTACTGCCCAAGTTTGCAAGCCATTTTTTAAAGCCTTTGTAGTCGCCATGTTATAAAATATTGTTTCTTGAAAGTCTTGTTTAATGATTTTGTAACTGTGATTGGTAGTTGAAGTCAAGCCCCTATTTAATTCATATAACTCCCCTCTCTAGGTGCCATCTATACTAATAGATCAGTAACAAAAACAGAGAAAATCATGTCTGACTATACCCACCCCGCACATGGGCTTTTTAAATTTTTACCGAGCAACTGCAGGCTTTTAACTTTTAAGGGATCTAAAAGGTTTTTAAAGAGTTTTTACCCATCTGCTGTGTCTTATTTTAACAACAAAAATGGAAATTAATAATTTATTTATTTATAACTTATTTATTTATAATTTGTAACCCGAATAGCAGTCCATTTCCGTTTTTATATGAATTTTATATTTATATATTAATGGCTGAATAAACTCTTATCTCTTATCTTATATATATATATCTGTTTTCAGTTGTCTCCTCCAAACTCTATAGAAGCGCCAATGAAGTCCATGTTTGAGGACCAGGAGAAAGAAAGATATAGACTACGGTTACAGCATCTTATAGAAAGAGTAAGTATAATACCCCTCTCTCTCTCTCTCTCTCTCACACACACACACACACACACACACACACACACACACACACAAAGGTTAAAGACTTCCCAGAGTTATGCAACTGTTTCTTTTATAAAAGAATTATCACCAATCAATAAAAAAACATTCCCTGATGTAAAACTGGACTAGAAGTTCTAGATTCAGTACATTTAAGCTAGTATGCAGCATAGGCCAGGCCTCTTGTGAGTGCAGCAGTTGAGCCAAAGCCCAGTCACATCCATGTGTAACACAATTGTTTACCAAAGCACACCTAACACAATCTGTACTGTGTTGTTACCTTTCCAGGAGAAGTTGATGTTGTCCATAGAGCAGGAGAGGATACGGGCGCACGGCAGGGCGGCCAGAGCCATGGCCAATCAGAGCGTCCCTCTCAGCGCCTGTACTATTCTCCGCGATGAGGACGTTTACTACATGCTGGATGCCGAGCAGGTAAGGAGAAAATGGACAATTTTTAACTACTTTATTTGCTGCCATAATTTTCAACCAAGTTTTGATGATGTATAGATTTTATAACATGAAGTTAAATGCCATCCTGAATGTCTGCATATTATAAAGTACTATGTATATTATCAATTACTAAATACATGTCAAATAAAATTGGTGCCTTGTTTTAGAAAATGGTTAAAAATAGTATTAAATTAAAATTTATTTTTATTTACAAAAAAACTATACATGGTGTGTTCATGAAATGATGAAAAGTGTATTGTAGAAGTAAAGTGAAGTGAATTTAAGTATAAGAAAAGACAGATGTAGCTGTTCATCTTATATAGTGAGATATATCCGGTTCATAGAAAATGTGGTATATATACTTAATATGCTGATCACTGGTCTGTCCACTTTCTAGGAAGAGAAAGATAAGACATCAAGAGCCAGGTACACAGGTCGCCAGTTAATTTCTTGGCTGCAAGATGTGGATGATAAATATGAAAAAGTAAAGGTAAGCGTTACTTGAACTTGCAGTTATTGCTTGCACTACACATATGTCAAAAGCAATATTCTTTAACAACAGTAAATTACCATTTGATGAAATCTGTGTTGTTTTGTTAAGTGCAAGATATGGATGAAAGATATGAAAAAGTAACACCTACTCAAGCTGTGTTATTGCTTGTAGTGTGTATGTTGGGATCAATATACATTAACAGTAGTAAATTACCATTTGATGAGATGGCAGCTGTTACACCAGCAAAACTTTTCGAACAAGTGACCGTCCCTCTTTTATAGGTTTACAGAGAGTACGGTAGAATAGCCTTTTATCCTTCTGTGAAATATTCTTATAATCAAGGCAAAAATATGTATTCATGAAAAAAAGGAAGTACATCAATAAGGACTTAAAGGTTTAACATACTCCTATGCATTAGTGGCCGGAATGTTTATCAACAGATTTGAGAGATTGGCAATTGTAAATAGCCTGGTTTAAGTGTACTTCCTGTCTCATACCCCAATGTACCAATCAAAATAAATCAAATCAACTGGCTGCATCTCTCTTACCTGAAGATCATGCTTTATTAAGTTTTTTTATCTCTCAAAAAGTGTACAGCACTATGTAAAAAGTGCCTAATAATGTCAGGCCCCATTCAGAACAGTAGACTAACTTGTCCTCGGGTCAAATATGGCAAACCACTAAAAAAGCTTGTTGTCTAATCTGCTTGTAGACGCTGAATATAAATTTTCCATGGGGAGGTATTCAAGTAGGTCAGACATATTTGACTCGCGGACTAGTTAATACACTCTTCTGAACGCGGCCTCAGTAGAATAAACTTACAGTAAACAACATGACTGAGTATATCTATCTTTTTTCACTTTGGTAGGAGGCGCTGCTGTCGCGGCACCATCACGAGGCGGAGTCCCTGTACGCTGTGCAGAAGATGGACTGGGAGTTAAAGCTGATGGAGTGTGGGCTCTGCGACAACAAAAAGCGGCCGAGTATTGACGAGCTACATGTGCCAATGGTCCAAGTGAATGACGATTTTGATCTTTTGCCAGCGTGACAGATGCATGCACATGGAAAGGGATGTTTTTTAGATGCCCAGTTACTACTGTATTGATGAGTCGGGCTGCGAGGAAATGCTGATGTTAGCAAGGGGAAGACTTGTGAAAGATTGAAGCTGAAAAATGAATGCCTTGACAGCGTTTTAACAGTGTGAGCTTAAACTGTGATGAGGAAATAAAGTCCGCCATGGGTTCTGTCTGTGAGACTAAGCAAGACACATTGAAAAAGATGGTTATTGTGAAAGATAAAGATTGCATGTTGTGGTAAAAACTTGAAAATTTAGTTGGTCTTGGAAATTTGGCAGAAGATGATTTTTCGCCATCGTAAATATTTTCACTTTGAAAATTTCACCAAGTTTGAAAATGGGCCTCTCAATCATTTTGAAAAGTTTGTCACCTAAAAACACCAAGTCGGATTCAGGCATTTAAAGATCTTAATTAATTTTTTTAAAGTGACAAAATTTTGCAAGTTTTTACCGTAGTTTTGACATCACCACTGGTATAGTGAAACACTGAATAGAAGTTTCTGCTTACAAGGTTAGACTTGAAGCCAGCTAGAAATTTGAAAGACGACAGTTTCTGACTTTTGCAAGTTGTGTTGGAGATTTGTGGAGATAACCTGTAAGAGAAGGTTTGAAGAAGTTAACCCAAAGAGTGCCTTTTACAAGTAAAAGCTGTGACACAGAGAGAGAGAGAGAGACTCCTGCACCATGCCTGAGAAAATTGATACAATGTGACCAGATTACCTTATCTGGAATGAATGGTGGACTTTTTGTGTGGAAACTTTCATTGTGGGTGAATGATTAAGTTTTTGAAAAAGTTCATGAGATGAGTCTTGTAGTATTGTCTATTGAGAATTCATCTGAAATATTTCAAGTAGTACTGAACATTGCCTGTAGCCCAGTTCAGCTTTATTTTAATAAGTTATTATGGAAACTTGGGTGTTAACCACAACAACTGGTTCACATACCATGCAGTTTCACATACCATATACATGGTTTACATACCATATACGTGGTTCACATACCATATACATGGTTCACATACCATATACGTGGTTCACATACCATACTGGTTCACATAGCATGCCGTTTCAAGGAACATTACTGGTTTAAAAGTTTTTGATTTTCTACAAGGACAGGTGCTTGTGGTCTGTGGAAGTGGTGACTGCATGCCTGAGTTGTGTTGAGGGTTGCTTTAAAATAGTCAAGGTTTTCTTATTTTGAATTTAATCAATTTATTTTTTTTACTTTATTTATTTATTTATTTATTTATTTATTTTTTTTTTTTTTTTTTTTTTTTTTTTTTTTTTTTGGGGGGGGGGGGATCCACATGCAACTTGATTGTCCACATTGCTGTTACTAAATTAACATCATTGTCAAGCATTCAGAATGAAGTGGTTAAGATTTACTTGTCATACTGTAGCAGAGTTTGAATATCGGTAACAATTTAGTAAAAGTGGCTTTAATTTTAAGTGTTAAGTTTGAGGAGAAAAGAGGTTACATTTCGAACTGTCTCAGATGAATTTATGAAAGGCGGGTTTGTTTTTAAATGACTTATTATTAATTACCAATACTATTATTAATTTTTTAAATACTTAGGCCATTTTAAGGTCAGAAAGGTTTGTGAAATGAGTTATTTGAAGTAAAACCTGAATGACTTCAATATTTACAAGTTACCATATTTCTTAATTAGAATGTTATAAAAAGCTTGGGGCATGTGTAGAAAAGTTATCATGGAACAGAGCATTGGGGCCTAGTTTTTTCTTCAGATTAAGAATAGTTGAGTGAAGTGAGAGTTTTTCCAGCTTTGAAGGACTTTGTATTAGTCTCCTAGATAATAAGAGTTTCACATTCTTTGGTGTTAATGTTAACATTGGATTTTTTTATTCCGTTATTTTTTGTCACATTTGTGGTTGACATGGTTTTAAAGCTGTTAGAAGTTTGATGTTTTGATTGGTATTGTCTTATAAGAATGCTATAGACAGCGCCCTCTATAGTAACTGGTGATCACTTTTTAAACAAATGTATCCACTGCTATTGTAAACATGGATGTTTCAATTTAAAGTTGAAGCTTTTTGCAAATCTGGTTTTGCATAGATTAAAAGTTTTGACAACAGCAAAGAAAATGATGTGTGGGAAAATTGACCTTGGTCAATTTCTTTTTTTTTTTTTTTTTTTTTAAGTATATAAATATATATAAGGTACCCCAAAACACCTTGCTAGCATAGATATGTACATATGTTGTATATTGTAACAATATGGTACTTTCACCAAGAAAGTAGAAGTCATTGTATCATTGTCCATTTGTATATTACTTTGCATGGTTATTCATTTTGCCAGGACTGGTCATTCTGACCTTTTTAAGGTCCTGAGTCCTTTTGGGTCCAAAGATAATTGTGTCTGCTGGACCTGTTCAATGTAGGTAAATTTAATGACAAGAGCTAGCAAGGCCATATGTAAGGTGAAAAGCCGAATAGATTTCTGTAAATATTTGATTGCCTATGGTGATAAAAGTGACTATGAAATTGAATTAAAAGTTGAAAGTGTCTCACTGAATATCTTGTTGTGTTTGTGTTGTTTTCAGCTGCGACCTTGAACAAAACGCACTTCGAAATGAAACTGAAATGTTTGTTTTTATGTGTCTTTTGTGAGTTGGGCACCCGAGGCCGGCCCATCCCTCTTCGAATTATTACGTAAAATTGAAATTAAGAGGTTCATATTGCTGTCAGAAACAGCTCTTTATATTTGCAATACGTTTCTAAAGGTGAAAATTACAAATAGATGACTCGGTACAAATCTGCCGCAAGCAGAGTTCTTTTTATTAGTGCGACAGTATGGATTACCGAGATTCAGGAGAGCTACATCACTAGAGGATGTTAATAATGATAAGATAATGATATCTTTAAAAAGATAGGTGATAGCAATAAGACTGATTATTTGAACTACACAATAATATGCGTACGCGGATGGAACATCTATTTTTATGTACAGACACAGATGTGTCTGTACATATTGCCATCACCTGCGTCTGTCGTCGCCGATGGCGATGCCGTCGCCGTGCAACTTTCACTGTAAACACGATAAGTGGAACACAGTTTTATTTTTTGGTTTTATATTTACAGAGCTGATGAATATTCATAAAACGCAGGTCAAGTTCGAATATGGGCATGATTGGGCCACTATTTTAGTAGTTATGCTGTTTTTTCCTTTTTTTTCAGCATATATGCAACACTGTAAACACAATATAAGAAAAACCGATAGGCCAATTGTCATTAAACTCACAGGAGTGGTCAATCTTACTAAAACGAAGATCGAGTTTGAAAATCAGCATAATCAGGCCATTATTTTAGAAGTTATGCTGTTTTTTCACATTTTCTCAGATTCAATTCTTAGGCATGTTAACAGTCTTATTATTTTACTAATAAGATACATTAAAGTGTTTGTTTGACATTTCCTGCATCTTTACATTATTGTTAGTTGATTATGTAAAAATGATGGTAAACTTGTTATCNTTAAAGAACTAATGCCGTCTCTCGCAGATAAGATAATGTTACTTCTTTGTTTTAATTGAGGATAAATTACATACCATAAGTCAGCTAGCTCCACGTTTAAACACACGTGAGTGTGAAGTCGTTGAATTATAAAAAAAAAAAATATGGGACCATTTCAAGAATCCACATAGTTATCTCTTCCCAATTAGTTCTTGCGAACAGCACCAGGGCCCCGTAACTCGAAAGCATCGACCGAGCGCAAGCGTCTCGATTCCATAACACGCCCATACTCGCCCCATATAATACATTGTAGCCTCTATGTGATATCGCTATTCGCAATACGCGATGCCTCCAAGTTATGGGGCTCTGATCTTCCCCTAACGCGCTATCCCAAGGAGTAAGAGCAATGGATAAAAAGTATGCATTTATGAGGGCATTCAGAACATCATCAATAAATCAGATACGTACGTCCCCAGTGGCACACTTGATGGCACTTTGAAGTCAATTGTTTGGTCCCTTTTTAGCGGCGGTTTTCTTCTGCTGGATCAAAAAGAATTTCTTAGGAGCACTCCTTGACGAAAGCCATGATTCAGGAGTATGGTGTTGATTGTTCCTATGGAAACTCGGGTTTTGAAGCATTTTTTTTTACTTTACCATGTCTTTTGACGACACATCAGGCTGTAGTTTACGTTGATGACCGATGCTGATGCTTAGATGGTGGAAGTTCTTACAGAATTTGAAAAGTGTTTATTGGCCACTGACACAGCCAGCTGTATATCAATTATTTTGCGACAATTTATCACGGAAATAATAATTATATTTCTAACTTCCGAAATATTCAACTATTTTGGTATGTAGCAAAGGATATCCGCCCCACACTCAGCGGATTACACGCTAAAAACATGCTAAGGGGGAAACTATCTGATAAAATAACCCGATTAAGCCCATTTTCGAACTTCACTTCCTTCATCTTAGCCTCAGAGGTGCCTGATCAAATTTTGAAGTACATCACTATCGTTTGACACAAAACTAAAATGTATGCCAAAAACAAGCAGACAAAACACTCTTGCCTTTGAAAAAATTATAAAGGCGTATTTTTAAACTTGTATTAAATGCTAACCCTGCAAATTTGACACATTATTTATTATTTAAAAAATATATATTATTCAAATCTTTTATCTGCTTAAAAGCTGAGATGGCCCCTCGCGTTGAACGAAAAAAAAAAAACATCTACTTTCCAGTGTTCCAGATTTCCGTCGTCTTGTTACTGCATAAGTTTTCAAGAAAAATCATGTTCATGCTGCGTTTGACCGTCACCAATCTTGGACATGACAGCTACCTATATAACTTTCTGTAAATTAACGTAGGTGAAAGGTGTTAATATAGCAGCAACGTTTATTCTCGGTGTGAAAGGAACATCATATTAGTTTTTACGTGCGGGAGAAACCACACGGATCTTCGTCTACTCCAGTTTCCCCGAGTCCCGTTGTACTACATAAAAAAAAACGGACAGTGATACAAATTTGTGCAACTTTGTGGTGCAAATTTTCTTTAAAATAACTCTCGTAGAAAGCAAAATGGATAACTCCACTTATAATGCCACGGAATCTCATGTGAACGATATTCGGACGGACACTACTGACTGGTATATGGCATTGCCACAGAGCGCCGTGATAGCCTTCGCTACAGTCGAATTCTCCATCGCCATCTGGACCATCCTTTCCAATTCCACCGTCATCATTACTTTCATCAAGACGAAGCCTCAGAACGTTACAAACACCGATGTTCTCATCTTCAGTTTGGCACTGACGGACATCTTTTGTGGACTCGTCGCCATTCCCTACGGCATCGTCATGAAGCACCTAACTCGACTGGTTCCCGGTCTCCGCCGAGCTGTGCTGTTCAGCAAGTACGCCTGCCTCGGCCAGGTATCCACCATGGTCTTCATGCACGGGCTGTCTCTACTCCACACGCCGGTGATAGCCGCCGAACGCTGCGTCGTCTTGTGCAGCTCACGAAAGTTCTCTGCCAGGCTCACGCGTCGTCTGACCAATGGGATTGCCGTCGGTTGTTGGGTATACGCTGCCATTCTGGGTGTCCTGCCCGTGTTTTGGGTGAGTCGTTGGGTTCCGGGGAGCCAGTGCCGTGCTGACAATGTCTACCATGACTTCATGACGTACGTCCTCCTTCCCCACATCCCAATTTCCTTCATCACATCGTGTGTCTTGTATTTGGTTATCATAGCCTCGGTCACCAGGCAAAGAAGAAAAATTGCCGTCTGGTCGGCGCAGATGACTGAGATGACAACAGAATCGACAGCAGAGACCGCATTGCCTAAAGTTGATATTTCCTCTCGTCCTACGAGAGCTTCTGGCAGGGTTTGGAGTTTGAACAAGTCAAAGGATCTGAAGGATACCAGCCGATCACCCGGATTCAGGGGACTCACCAAACACCAATGGGAGTCCCAGGTACGGCTGGCCAAGATGACGGGCACCATAATGTTTGTATTTATGATGTCATGGCTGCCTTACACCGCTGTGTACATAGCGACCAAGAACCTGGGCCGAAGTTCAACGTGTCTGGAAGTCCTGAGAGTAGTCGCTGTTGAAATGTCGGAATTGAACTCTGGTATTAACCCCATTGTGTATGCTTTCATGAGCAAAAGATTCAGAGATGCATGCAAGCGTACTATCAAATGTCTTGGTTGAATCTTTCTCTCTCTCTCTCTCTCTCTCTCTTTCTCTCAAGGAGAGAAGGGTCTACCTTTCCAGAGACGAGGGCAATTGTACCCAAACATATACGGCACAAGGATATTAAAATTCTTTTTTTTTTTATTCATGTTTCGGTTGTAACGTAACTCTGTTTAGGGTGGTAGAGAAGGGAAAGAAGAGTACCTCTGTAGTGAAGGGTATAGGTCGAGGTGCGCCTCTGAATTTGTCTTGTTTAAAATACCCTCCCAGACTGCATCTGTGAGGTGGAGACTGTGGTATTAGCTGATTTAAGTTATTTGTGGAAATAATGACTGTCATTACCTGTAATACAATAGTTAACTTGAAATCGAAATTATTGAAGTCTGTCAGTCAACGGATGCGATGTTGTTGTAAACAATATATCATGTTTCAGTTATTCGAGAGAAGAAATATGTTTGCATGTAGATTTGCGTGAGAAGAAAGAAATTTAATTAAGCAGTAAGCAATGTATATATGATATTTATTATAGTGAATTAAAAGTGGCGTTCTAATTATATATAAATACGAAGAATAGAAATCAACCTGTAGTGATAGATGTTGTAACAATATGAATAAAAGAAATGTTGGAAAGCAATGGAATTTTATCTTCAGTCCACATCTTGTACCTATTGTTTTAATAATGAGGGAATTTTTATTTTATTTTTCATTTTGTAGTGAAATATCAGCGAAAAGTAATTGCCGATATAAATACCATTAAATCAATCATGACAGGGGTGTGCAAAAATAATTTGTGGGCCGATGTTGAGACACTCTCGTTCACTAGCAGACATATCTCTCTGTGACACAAAAAACAGAACCAATAAAAAATTATTAAATCCTACAAGGGTCAATCAAATACCAAGAAATTTGCTTGACTTACACTTCAGTATGTGTACAATCATTACCCAAACTTTCAGTTACCTTGGTCGCTTCGCATAAAACTTGTGTTCTTTTTAAAAATATGCTCCAAACGGCTTCCGAGGCATTATAGGCACACTTGCATACATCGCGAAACTTTGTGGGATTTAATTTTTTTTTCGGGGGGGAGGGGGGGAGGGGGGGGAGTCACCCTGGCCCCCGTTTCACAAAAAAACTTAAGTCGGTTTCCCTGACTTAGGGCTTGGTTACCAACGTAATTAAGTCGTTACGTCACTAAGTCCCGTTTCACAAAGAATCTAAAAGGTCGCTTACGTCGTTTTTTTCTTAGCTGTAAGTCGACGATGTCAAGCCTCCTCGGGAGGAGACTTAAGTCGGCAAGCTCAACTAAAACTCGGTAAATGAGAGCATAAACAACAAAAATTTGGAAAGAACATACCTCCTTCAAGATATTGTGTTATAATATCCTTGAATAGCACTGACATTTATGGAATATTGAAATAAAAAATAAAATTCCACTTTACCCAGCCGATCGCGTGTTTGTTTATGTTTTTGACCGCTAGACGTCCCTCAGTAGTGTTCCACGACAAGCTAATGTTTAACTGTTGCTTTGAAGTTGTATTGAAGTTAAACTAATCAATAAAGTTCAAAAACAAACTTTGTTTGTGTTTTGGCTGACTTTTAT